TTAATCTTTATTGGTACTTATGTTACATATACATATACCTTTTGTATACATAAAACATTGTAAGTTTTAAGAATTAAATTTAAAAGGTTTAATAATAAAGGAAATAAATAAAAGAAGCACTGATCTGGTTTGCCTTGGAAAGAGATAAAAATTTAGTCATTTAGCTGTAGCACTGGGAATAATAAACTACGAATCTATTTAACTATCATTTTACTTCTTTATATTTTAAAAAAAGCTGTCAAATTTTAAGACTGCAGAATTTAAATACTCATTTCTTAAAGAGAAAAATCTGTTCATCCAAGCATTAATGATTAAAACTTCTTTCCACATTAATAAACTTCCTAATAGAAAAAGCAGTATCAGAATCTTCTGCCAATCTTGACGCAGCTTTTGACCATGATAGTGGAAACCAAGAGAGGATTAAATAAAAAGCAAATAAAATTCCTCTTCCTTAACACCATGTGTATCTTTTACACACACACACACACACAACGTAAGAACGCCCTTCCTTATTAGGATGCAATTTTCCTTAGATTTGCCAAATATCATCTTGTCTAACATTCTTTTGTACTTTATAGACCATGTACTCACCCATTTATCTTATTAGATTTTACACATATAGACACACATAATGCACGTATGTAATGCTGAGGGCTTTGCTGACATTATTTTATATTTCATCCTCATAACAACCCTATGATACAACAGATGTTACTATCACCACTTTATAAATGTGGAAATTGAGGCCCGAAAAGGTTAAGTTACGTGCCCCAAGGTCACACAGCTGGTAATCGCAGCACTAGCCAGACTAGTAAATAATCGAGAGACCAGCTGGGCTCAGTGGCTCACACCTGTAATCCCAGCACTTTGGGAGGCCAAGGTGGGAAGGCTGCTTGAGGCCACGAGTTTGAGATCAGCCTGGGCAACATAGTGAGACCCCATCTCTGCATAAAATAAGAAAAAATAGCAGGGCGTGGTGGCACGTGCCTATAGTCCCAGCGACTAAGGAGGCTGAGGCAGGAGGATCGCCTGATCCCAGGAGTTTGAGGCTGCAGGGACTGTGCCGCTGCACTCCAGCCTGGGTGACAGAGAGAGACCCTGTCTCTAAAGATGAGGATAATAATAATGAGAGACCATGTAGAGAGAAAGGCCCAGCACCAAGGCCCCAGATTTGACAGTGGGACCATCTTAGACCCTCAAGACACAGGTCCACCATCAGCTGACAGCACAAGTGAACCCAGGCAAGAACAGAAAACCATCCAGTGAACCCACGGAATCATGAGAATATTAAACTGTTACTGTTTTAAGCCACTAAGTTTTGAGGTGGTTTGTTACACAGTGATAAATAACTAGCGCAGCCTCTGCGATTATACACTCTCCAGGTTTTCCATTTACTCTTATGAATGCTCCCTAATCTCTTTCCTGAGATCATCTGCCTTCTGTTCCCTCACCCGCCACCCCCACGATAGCCACACTCAGTGTCGCCTCATTGGGGCTTTCTTTGGTCTTCTTTTGCATTTCTCTAATTCAATAAGCAACATCACCCACTTCCACGGTTTTAACGATTACCTATATGGGGGCGACTCCTTAATGCACATCTCTAGTCCTGAGTGCCCTTCTGAATTCCAGATCCGTATGTCCCCCTGCCTATTAAACATCTCCATTAATGTCCCACAGATGTCTCAAATTTGGCCCAAAGCTGAAAGCATATTCTTTTGCAAAACTATTCTCCCTTATGTATTCTCTATAATAATAAATGTCACCATCATAAATCCTCTGACTGGAGCCAGAGATCAGGACTCCATCATGACTCTACTTTCTGCCTTATCCATGATGCAGAGACTAACTCATCTCTCCAGTATTTGCCCGGCCCTTCTTCGAAAATTACATTAATAGTATTCTTAGCTGGGTATAAGCCATCGGGACTAAACGTTACACATCCCAGCTTTCTGTGTGGCCAGGTGTGGCCACAGGACAGAATCCCAGTCAATGAAGTGTAAGTAGAAGTGCTGGAGGTTGGTTTGCTGGAACTTGCCTTTAGCGAGATAGCCTGCAGGTGCACTCGGCCCCTTCTTTATCCCTTCCTCTGTTCTGCTAACTCGACCACGATGCTGCCAACTTGGCAATGGAGGCCTCGTCCAGGGGAGCCACAAGACAGGGGACAGATTCCAGACACCGTGGCGGCCACACCAGTGCACCTGCCCAGACGTTCACATACAGAAATACACTGCTTTCTTATTTGAGCCACTATCATCGGTGCTTTCTGTCACGTGCAGAAACCCCTCATTGCGCCACGCTCTCTCTCGCCTGTCTTTCTAAGCACTCAGGAAACAATGCTACACTCTAAGAAGAGTTAAAAGGCCGGGCGCGGTGGCTCACGCCTGTAATCCTAGCTCTCTG